ATGTACGGTGAATGAATGTAAATAAATAAATAAAAATAAATAAATAAATAAAAATACACATTTAACAAACTAAATAGATGGTAAAATCTGCCTTATATTGTCTATATAGTGTAGAAATTATACTTATTCAATAGTTTTGTTTCCTTTTTTAAAGACTGAAAAATATAAACAATTTAATAATGTACTTAATAGCATTTGTATTTTTTTCACTCGGCATGCATTTTTTGAGTAATTCTATATATAGCACTAGTCTAGATTCTGGCCTTAGAGAAGGCCTTAGAGAAGTCAGTAAAACAGACAAGGTTTCTGCTTTAATGAATCCTATGTTCTAATGGTAGTAAAGCATTAAAAAGACAAGTAGAATCAGACCATGGAATGGTGGCTAAGATAGGTAGATCCCACATAGCTAAATGCACCATTGTGGCTGAAAAACACACCAGGAACATGTGTGTGCATGCCCAAAACCCCAAGAGGGAAGTGCAGGAGAAGGGATTATGGCATGGTCATCCTCCTTGGGGTGTGCTTTCTTACTTTCTCTCTCTGTGTGTCTCTCTTCAGTAAGCATGCATGCCCTATGGCAAATTTAAACATTTTTTAAAAAGAAAAGAAAATAGATAAGTAAGTATATTAAGATATCAATTTCAGATACTGGTGAGTACTATAAAGAATTACGATGGGATCATTTAAAAAGGGATGTCAGTTTCTACATGTTAAATTTGAGGTTCTTAATAAGGATTTGCATTTTTCTTGTCAAATTATCTGCTTCTATGCTATTTTTCCATAATGTAGTAGATTGGACTTCAGTTAGATCCTGTTAAAGCCATTGTTCTTTAGAAAAATTATGTGGAATACTTCTGAGTTAAGAATTTTCATAAGGAGTTTTTTATGTGACAGAATATTTCCTTGTTTAAAAAAATATTTTCTTTTGGTAGTTTTTCCTGCATTTACACTTGCCAGAAGGAGAGAGAAAGAGAAAGTGAGAAAGTATCCCTGCAATCCCTTCTCCATTCTCTGCTTAGGATTTTAGGCACCCACATATATGAGCCTGGTGTGATCTTCAAGCCACCAGGTTCCACACAGTCAGCTACGTGGGATCCAGCCACCTTAACCACTACACCACTGGCTGGTCACATATAAACTCTTTTACAATCATATTGAATTTGGTAAAAGAATGATACATGATTTTTTAAACTAAAAGTGAAGGGAACCAGGATAATATGGTGCACAGAGCTCTTGACTAGAAGTTTATAGCTCAATATTTTAAGTATGATTTTTCTGTTAATAAAGCATTTGACTTGGGATACCATCTTACTTGTGAGTTTCAACTTCATCTGTAAAATGAAGACTTGAATGAGATGGACTTTTAGGAATGTTACAGCTTTTCTTTTTTAAAATTATTTCTAGACACCAAAGAAAATATCAGTGTTGCAGATATTCTTCAAAGAGTTTGGGCCATATTGGAACTGAATATGGAACAGTATGCACTTTCACTCTTAAGGTAAAACAATATATTTCTTATTGTAGTATATGGGTATCCTTCAAGGTTCAGTTGGAATGCTATCATCTTTGTTTATTTAGTTAGTTTTTCCAATCACTGCAGCTAGAAACACACCATTGCTTCTGAACTTCTACGGTATTTTATCTGAAACATTTCTATGGTACTTACTATGTTTAGGTCTTACTTGCACATACATATAATTCTAAACGGATAACCTCTGAGCAAAATAAAATTTTCTAAAATCTTGTAGTGCTGAGAAGACAAAAGTTAGAGTGTAGGGCCTGGTAGGGGACCTTGTAGAACCCTAGTAAGCAATTAAAATAGTCACATGAAAACCTGGAGGGCAATACTCAGATATAGAAGCAAACCAGAAGAAGATTAATCCTTAGAAAAATTAATTCTATTCACAAACCATTTACGAGAGAGGATATATGAATTAAATATGTATATATGAATTTGGTAATCCAGATCCTCTACTATTCTAGATATTGGCAGTAGTAGGAAAAAAATTAAAAAGAGAGAAAATAGATTCAAAGTTTGAGACATTAATTACTAAAACACATTCAAATGGAAATTGTCTAAATTAAAATTTGAATAACTGAAGCAAAGAGCTCATTAATGGCTTTATCAACAGATTAGATAGAAAAAGAGATTAATGAACTGAGAGAGAGTGCAAGAAAAGTATCCCAACTGAAACAAGAGAAAATGAGTGGAAAATAAGCAAAGATATGTGAAACATGTTCAGAAAGTCTGATATATATGTAGAGTCCCAGAATGTAAAATGATGATGGATGAAAACTGTCCAAAACTGATAAAAGACAATGTACATTTTCCAGAGTTTCTGCAGACCCAGGTAGAAAAGGCACAGAGAAAACCACACCAAGATTTGGCATAGTCACACTGTTGAAAATCAAAGACCAGAGAAAAAAAGAAATTGCCAGAGAAATAAGACTGTCTTCAAAGGACAGTCTGATCAAAAACTATATGCAGGAGTCAATTCATGACATTAATGCAAAATTCAGAAACTGGGTACATTAGTTACAGAAGTGGTAAAAGTAATAATCTAGGTAAGACTAATAGGACAAGGATGCATGAGGTGTTTGTTACTGTTATGCAATATGCCTTAAGTTATAAATTTAATAAATGAAATTAAACTTGTTTATCTTCCAGAGAATAGGGAAAATCCCAGTTCAATTCTTCATATAAAACTCAGCAAAGACAATACATGAAATAAAATTGCAAACAAATCACCCCCTTGAATATAAATGTAAAAAACTATGTCATAAAAAAATTAGCAAATTGGGTGAGCAGATGGTATGGAAGTTAAGGTTACTGGATCCCACATGGCTGACTACATGGTTTGAAACCCAGAACCAGAGACTTGAAAAACACAGCTGGCATTTGTGCATGCATGACCAAAATCTCAAGAGGAGAATGGAGGAAAAGTATTTCTCACTTTCATTCTCTCTCTCCCTCCACCCTCACTCAGGTGAGCACATGCGCTCTATATCAAACTGGAAAAAAAAAGCAAATCACAATTGGATTAATCCAAAAAAGGATAATACCTCAGAATCAAGTTGCTTCATAAGCAGATATGCAATGGTGGTTTAGTTTATTTTTTAATAGACATTTAAATTTAGTACATTAACAGAAAAAATGTTTAGTCATATGTATAAGTTCAGAAAGTCATTTAATAAAATTTGGAACATATTTAAGTCAAAAAAGTGCATTTGGCAAACTAGGATTAAAGAAGGCCTTCCTTAATATGCTAAGGACTCTTGGATTAAAAAGAAAAAACCTACTGCAAACATGATTACTGGTGAAATTTAAAAATGTTTTCCTGAGTTTGGTAATGAGATAGAGATACCCACCCAACTACTTCTATCCAAAATAATCCTAAAATTCCAAGAAGAGCAAAAGGCAATAAAGCAAAATAAGAGTCAGTAGGATTTAAGGAAAGAAATAAAACTTCCATTAGCAACAGAAGATGTGGTTGTATCTGTGGAAAATACCAAGAAATCTACATAAAAACTATTACAATTAATGAAAGAATTAAGAAAATGTGATGGGCATAAAGCAAATAGAAATAATTGATTTTCTATTCATAAGCAAGAGACAAATAGACAATTATATGTAAAACTGAATACAAAATATTATTTTAGTAGTTTTTGCCTTAGGTTGTGTGCATTTGCCAGAAAGAGAGAGAGTGAGACAGACAGACAGACACAATGAGAGAGAAAGTGAGAAATCACCCACTGGGGATCAGCCATGCTGCAATTCCTTCTCCTCCATCCCCTCCTGGGATCTTGGACACACATGTATACACACCCAGGGTTGGTTTCCAGCCACTGAGTCTGGGACTCAAATTGTAGTCAGCCATGTGAGAGTGATGTGACCGCTACATCATCTACTATTCCCACATATTTTAAATAGTCTAAAATTAATGAAAAAAATTCATGATGAACCAAATATCAAAATTTTTACTAAAGACAGAATCCCACTGTTCACTTGACTGAGCCAGACAGTAAGTACCTCACTTACCTCATCCCAGTCTTGCTTTAATACTGACGGTTTTGCCTAACCACTCCAACCTGATTAACTTTTGCTTTTGAACACCCAGTCTCTAAAAAGGGTAGTTTTTCTAAAATTCCAACTGTATGGATAAGCACAAAGAGCACAAATCCTCTTTTTAACTTGCATTGTAGGGGGTACTGTGAAAAGATCTTGTCAGATCCTACATCCAATTTTCATTTAAATAATGTGCTAAGGTGTGAACTCTCTTGTTAGGAAGGCAAACCATTTCACATGGAGGTGTATTTGAAACACAGGTATAACACTTCCAGGAGACTGATGCTCCTCTCCATTTGATCTTTTTACATAGTCAAGAGCATTGCACAGAATCTCAGCTAATACCCAATACAGAGGTATGCTCTTTCATTAGTCTGAGCTTCATATCTGAACCTGCGGGATAGATTAAACCAATCAGTCTGACTGTTATTTAAACTGAATGCTAGGACCATCCCAAAATACCTCATCCTAGCAGGCATAAAACCTAATGTTAATCCTAGCTCTACTAATTATCTGATGTGTGACCTGGGGTAAGTTTCTCTTATATCCTCTCTAAATAATTTTTTAAATATCTGTAACATAGGGACAGTAATATCTACTGTATAAACTGATCCCTCATAGATAAAATAAGGCAACACAGGAAAATTACTGATCACAATGCCACAGACTGAACGACTCCAGAATTTTAACTGTTTTATGTTTTCTAGGCCCTTTGTTGATTGAATCATGACCACCCACACTGAGGGCAAATCTTCCACAGCTCGTCTGCTCAGACTCTCATATTAATCAGTTCTGGAAACACCACCATGGAAACACCTATTGTTATGTTTATCATGTTTCTAGATTCTTACTCTAGTCAGGTTAATACCCAAAAACTAACCACATGATTTTTGCGTAAACCATATGTTAATATGCAAGCTCCTCTCCTTAGGATTTGGATCAGACTCAACAGAACTAAATAAATTCTATTTTTTTAGATTAATTTTTTTTTTAGATTAAATCTTTATGAATCTTCTAACTCTATCAGGGATGTCCTTTCTCCATAGTACATCAGGATTCATAGGATTTTTGGAGGTGTATGAGAAAGACTGGTATGTGCAAAGGGGACAGTGGCAGTCTGGAAGCACTCTTAACTCTCAGCCTTATTTTAGAATGGCAATGGGTCTCATTACAGTTAGTTCTCTATATGACCTGCTTGATTTCTGTGTTAGCTCAGCCAACACCCATGTTTAGATTAGACCAGTGCTCTGCATTGACAGACCACCATGCTGAAGTTCCTACAGTTAAGGTAATCATATTATTTATCATGCAAACTGTGACACTTTGACAAGATGGATAACTTAATAATTATGTCAAAACTATAAGCATCAACTACAACTACTTCAGGCAAACCAGTGTATATGACCACTTCGCACTTTATTCTTGGCTCAATCTTAACAAGCTTATAAAACTCCTCCAAAAATAACTCTCTATTAATTTCCTCCTACCACCAAAGGCCAATGATCAAATGGAGCATGTGAATTCTCTTCCTCATGAGAATGTCCATGTCTTTGCTTCCCAATGACAATAAATGAAACCATCTGTCTTCTGGAAGCCAAGAACACCTCTACTCCATTTAGACCTCTAATAGAAAACCATTTTCTGTGGCTAGTGGCTTCCATGCCAGCCTATGATACCTAAAGCATTATGTACTGCAGATAGAGTCAGGATGGTTTAGTCTGGCTCCCTCATTTCCTATATTATCACGTTTGAAGGCCACAGGATAAACAACTTATGTTATCAGTTTTACTGCACTTGTGCACTTGTTATGTAATTATGCCTTTGCTGTTTTATACCACTGCATGTGATGTGCATGTGTATGTATGTCAGACTGGTTTTGGCAAGGAGTCACTACAATCCGCAGCCTCTTTAAAAGAAAAGGAGCACCTGTTCAAGTAGTGTTACCCTGCCCAGCTAGCTAAACCTGCTCTGCTCGGCCTTGGTTCCTTTAGCTCAGTCCCGATGGCCTCACGTGGCTAGGCCTTGGCTCAGCTCAGCTCAGCTTGTTGCGCCCTGGGAGCTCCAGGGGTCGGAAGCACTCAGAACATTCTCACACATTACAAGCTCCAAGAGGGAGGGAGCATTTGTGAGTACTACTATGGGCTTTGTGAGCCTACTAAGACTCTGGGAGCTCCCATTAAACTCAGCCAATAAACAACATGACATCAGTGCCTCTTGTCTTTTTTCAACTCTCTGTATCTCTGTTCAACTCACCCTTTGGAGGAAGAAAGCATTTCTCAAAATACATTATGTAAAACATCAAATGTTCCTGGTCCTACTGAGGCTAGATCCAGTTTCTGAATGAATGTGAAGGATAAGACCCAGTAGATCTGTTATATCTTCACTTTCATCATATTCTAGAATATGCACAGCCTTCCAGGAAGCAAACATGGGTAAACCTTAGCCCATAATTTTTTAACCATGCACATGCACCATTCCCTCACACTCCAGAAATCATACAGAAGGAATACTCTTTTACTCTCCCCTGTTCATGGCCTCAGGTTTTTAAAAGCTATTTTTCCAAATGCATTCCTCATTTTAAGCTCCATTCTAGACTATTCTGCACCTCAATTCCGGACCCTTTGTTGGTCCCCACCCTGATTTATTGCCTGTTTTCCCATTTCCAGTTCTTATCATTATAACTTGAGTTCCTACCTATAAACTTTGATTACTTCCTTAATCAAGATTTACATTCTCCTTAGATTAAGGGCTGAAAATAACTTTGGGCATCTTTGAGAGACACCTCTTTATTGTTAACATAGAATGGAGACTCCTGCCTTGGTACCATGTCCATAGGCCACATAGCTTCATTTTGATCAAGATCTCAATTCAGCAAACAATGACCTGCAATATTTTTTGCCCTCTTTCTTTCTTTCTTTCTTTGTCTTTTTTTTTAAAATAGAGTTTATTTTTAAAGTGGCTTTTGGTATGATATTTAATGTGTTTTTACATTTCTAGGCTAATGTTTAAAAGCAAGTGCAAGTCTATTGAATCATATCCATGCTATCAAGATGAAGACACTAAGATTTATTTTGCTGACTATACTGTGACCTATCAAGATCAGCCACCAAATTCTTGGTTTATAGTATTCAGGTGAGCTTGTCATATCCTGGCGAATGATGTTATCTTTAATTGCATTCAATGTTCATATCTGTAAGTTTTATTTGTGATGTTAGTAAAAGTATCTACTTCTATGTTGCTTTCAGAACTTTTACATTTGCTATGTGTGAATGAGATATAGAAATTTTTGTCTGTCAAGCTTTAAAAATCTGGTTTTCAAATCTATTCCTCACTTTAAACTTCATTCTAGATTCTGTTCTTTGTTTCTTTCGTCAAAATATGGAGAATGTAAAATAATTATTAGAATGTTTTGAGTACTATAAAAATAGTACAACAATATGCTTTCAGTATAGAAAGACATCCTTTATTTCTAAGCAATAGCATATTAGGTAAAAGCAACAAACTACTTATGAAATGGGATTTTTTTGGTGGAGTTTGTATTTACCTGACAAAATCATGTATTAGTAACATTTAAAAGAAAGTAATATGTATACTTTTTCAATTACAGGGAGACATTTTTGGTTCCTCAAGACATGATTTTGGTCCCAAAAGTATATACAACACTTCCTATCTGTATGCTACATGTTATTAATAATGACACAATTGAACAAGTGCCAAAGATATTCCAAAAGGTGGCGCCTTATCTTTATACCAAGAATAAGGTTGGTGTAAAATTTATTTTCCTCACATGATAGAATAGCAGTGAAAACCCAGCAGTCCATAAACGGTCAAGGTTAAGGTGGGGAAAAGGAACTTTCAGTCTACTTACCAGGAACAGGACCTTGGTCCTTCCCTATAGAAGTCAAATTTATTTAAAAGCAGGGGATAATTTAGTGTGAATACTAGCATTTTTTAACTCTCAGCCCTATTTTTTCTATTTTTTTCTCCCCAAGAAAATGTGATAAAAAATTTAGAAATTCTGGGAACCAGCAGTTAGTGTAATGGCTATGCCACTGGACTCCTACGTAGTCGACCGCGGTTCGTGTCCCGGACCTGGTGGCTTAAAACTCACGCCAGGCGCGTTTGCGTGCGGGCCCAAAACCCCGAGAGGAGAATGGAGGAGAAGGGATTGCAGCGTGACCATCCCCCCGGGGGGTGATTTCTCGCTTTCTATCTCTATGTCTCTCTCTGCCTGTCTGGCGAGTGCACGCGCCCTATAGCGAAAATCTCTCCAAAAAAAAAAAAATTTAGAAATTCTAATTATTAAAATTACAAAATCTTTTAAATCCATAAAATAGGGATTGAAAGAGTTCATGTAGTCCTATCCCTAAACCAAGTCAGATGGTTGTCTCTTTCTCACTAGGTTTGTATTCTGCTTCTAAATATTTTAGGAGATTGAGATTATACTGCTCACCACCTCCATAATCTTTCCTTGAACTTCATAAATTCCTTCAGCGCCAGAGGCACTAGGCGTGCTACTCCTGC